AGAAGATCTACACATGAAGATTTAAGGAAATAGTGAATCTTGCATGAGTAGAGGGCAAGGCTAGGGTTAGTCGGAGTCCATGGGTATATATAGGCTGTGTAAACTCGTGGGAAGGGTTTAACACAACCAGAGCAATTTCTTAGCAAAGGGATAAGGGTTTCTAGAAAATAGGAAATCTTGTATCAAGGGCTAGGGGTAGAAAGGTTCACGANATCGTNTGTGATTCNTGAACAGGTGAGGCTAGGATTGGATTGAGATCGATACGTGTAAGTAATCTAATCAATCAATACTAGTGAAACGTTTTGGAAAACCCCGTGTGTTGTGTTCAATATTCTGCATCAGTATCATAATCGTCTGTAGTAGTAGCTGATACATTTTCAGCTAACATTTCTCGAGGCCTCTCTTATCAATCATGTGGTTTTGAATTTTTTTTTGTTTACACGAATTTAAAGGGTGAATTTTGCGGGTCCAAACCAAGAGGGTTAACCCTGTACACTGGTATTTTTGGATAATCAAAAATTTTGTTGTCTTGCTTGATCCTGACATATTTTATCTATGTATTGCTGTCAAATTAGTAGCCGAGAAATAACTCATAACAAATATAACTAATTTAAGATTTCATAATAACATTGTTTGTCGATATAAACTTCAAAAATGATTTCAGAACTAAGTTAGTAGTATGATATTTTATTTTTAAAATCTTATAGATGCTATTTTAGTTAGTATTTAATTTAATATGTTAACAAAACTTTCATAATGACTTTAAATATTACGTTAAATATTTTTTTTTTTAAAAATGATTGATAAAACCATATACTCATGGTTGTGCTTAAGGTTAAAAAAAAAGGCACTTGCCTTGGTCCCTCATTTATCATCAATTTATTAGGGCCTATTTATTAAAAATTCAATGATTCTATTAGTAGAAACCTTGTTTCCTCTGTGTATTTGTTTATTTTCCTCCAAATATTTATAATATATGTTCATTCCGCATCATTTTCTTCATACAGGGTGATGTCATTCAACTT